ATTAAAATGCACTGAAATGAATGTGGTAGGAACTGTGGAGGTGCTTAAGTGAGAGCATCTGTATTTATTAGGAAGGGAACTAAAAAAAGAAGTATTTTTGGATCAGAGTTCAATCCTTAAACTGGGCCATAAGGATTTTATGCAAATTTCCCTTCAAAATCTGCAATTAAGGACTGGTTCCAGAAGTGAATTCTATGTCCCAGCCTATAAAAACTATAAAGGAATATAATCTGAGATTCACTTCTTTCCAGGATTTATCTGTAAATCTCCTGCTCTTACCAAAATCATTTGGGATTCTGTGCTGGCCATGCTTTCCGTGAGTTGGACTTGAAGACTCAGGTTGTTCCCTTCCATTCCCTTGTTCCCTTGAGTTAAGCAGAGCACAACAGTTCAGAACTTTAAAATCCTACATTTAGCAATGTGATCATCCCCATTTACAAAAAAACCTTTATGAAGGCATCTGACTGTTTCAACCACAGCAAGCCTGAATCAGGAGAGAAAATCAGAACTTGCAACAGTCAAAAACCAAAGTCCTGGACAGGAATTAGGATGGGGAATTCCAACAGAAAACTGAATTGTTTCAAAGGCTTATGGGGAAGAGCTTCAGCTGATCACAGAGATGCTTCAGCTCTGAAATGTGATCTCAACCTCACCAAGGCTGAAACTTCAGCTGCATCTGTGCCTGCCCTGGAGCAGGTGAAATGTGCCTTTGCATGGCAGTGAGGGAACACAAAATACAGCATTTTTTAAATCCAAGCTCATGTCTTTGCAAATATATCAAGTTTTTTGGCCTTCACAGTCCAACCATTGGTTTGTTGTTTCCATGCTAATACAAATTCTTGTGTTAATAGGAGCATGGCCTTGGGTTTCTCCATCCGTATGGGAAAAAGTTACTTGTCTGATGGTAAACAAAGAACAGAAGAATCGATTCACTGTCCTCACTTTTAAAAAGATGGTATGAAGCCATAGTGAAGCAATTTTAATTGTGCCTGTGTAACACTTGGGATCAGTAAGATCATTTGTGTTCTGTTTTTAGGGATCGGGGTGCTCCGGAGCACACACGGCATTAGAAATGCAAAACATGACCGCATGTTCTCAGGGCTCTGTCAGAGGCACATGAAAGAGCACTTGTGCTGGGATGCTCAGCTCTGAGGGTATTCTCTGTTCAGTGTGTATTTACAGAGATGTATGAATATTTGATTAATGAGTCATGGTCTCTGGAGAAATTTAATAACTGTGCTGCTGTACAAAGCCAGCTCCTTCACTGTTAACACAGCTGCCAATAGTGTCACTGACACTGGAGCCCTTTCTGCATCTAATGTATGCTGGGGAGTAAATTCCTTCGTTGCAAGAGAATCCATGGGACACATTATTCAGTTATCTGTTTTGAACTGTTGCAGGCTCAATTTACAGCCTCTGATTTGTAAAGATTTTTCCAATGGAAACAAGCAGTGACACGTGAGCCATAAAGCAGCAGTTTCACGAGGCTGTGTTGTTCCAAAAGTTAGTGGGAAGGTCAGTTCAAAAGGAGAGTTGCTTTGAAAATTCAGTTTATAAAATGTAAAAGGAACAATGGATGAAAATATTCATGGATAGCAGACTGCTCCAGCAAATTCTTGCTGCCTTAAAAGCTGTGTTCAATGGGATTTCTCCAGTGAGGAGGGGTTGTTCAGGGGTACCCGACTCACAGGATAGGGCAGAAGTTTTCTCCCTCTGTGACACCAGACCAGAAGTGCTCTTCATTGTTGCCAAGCAGTTTCCCAAGAATCAGTCGCTGCTAATTTTATAATTTCTCCATTTTTATCCCTAATACCTGTGAAGAGATCAATTTTCACTTAGGAAGTTAGGGGTGTATTTTAGTGGTGTTACTCCAGCTCAACTGCCTTAAATAATAGGGGGGAAAGTGTCAAAAAAAGATAAATTTAGTGCAGAGGCTTTCACTAGAAGCTTTAACTGCAGGTTAGAATTATACATGCTATGCAGAATTTCCTGCAACACTTCTCCTTTGGGCCACAATGCATTACAGCAGACGTATAATGAAGCTGCTATAAAATCCGTGGTAATTAAGGGGGATTTGACAGTAATTGCAACAGTGAATCAACTTAATTATTACCTGCTTCAAAGAGAGCTAACCTGATGTTATAATCTAACCTTTCCTACTTCTAAAATGAGAGATTAAACAAGTATATGTAGCATTTAAGAATTAAATCTGTTGAGATAGAATTATAATAATATACTTTTCATATACATTTTATATCTATGTGTGTGTGTGGGTACAAAGCAGCAAAAGGAGCAGCACCATAAACTGACAAGCTGAGTGTGTGCATTCATAAAATAAACAGAACTGAGGTGAGCCAGCTCCTCTGCTGTTTGCTGAAAGCAGGGGGACCTGGAGACAGAATGTTACTATAAAACCCTACGACACACACAAGCCTAGTTCCTTGAACAGCCTTGTAAGGGGATGTGGTGGATGTATTGTCTTTCCATGCCTAATTTAAAGCAAACTATTCTGAAACACGTTTAAGGTTGGCTGTAAAGCTGCAAAAGGGGGAAGGTGCTTGAGGGCTTTGCAGCCCTGCTCACACCCCCCTGCTGTGGCAGCCCCTGGGATGTGCAGGATGGGAGGGTCAGGTCACACAGCACAGAGGAGGTTCTCCTTTGTCCAAAACTGGTTTGCTGGTTTTCAGTGCCCTTGAGCTAAAAAGAAGCTTTTATAATGTCCTACAGTGGCTTTGAAGCTGGGACCTGGGCTACAGAGCTCCATGGATTAGAATCATAGAATCATGGAATCTTTTGGGTTGGAAAGGCACTTCAAGACCATCGAGTCCAACCATTCCCCCAGTGCTGCCAAGCCCATCCATGTCCCCAGGTCCCCCGAGGGCTCAGGACTCAGTGCAGTTCCCACTCTTGGTGCTGCTGGGAGAGTTTTACAGTTCAAATGCTGCTGCTTCTCTTACACAGTGATGTCCAAACCTTCCTCTACCCTGCCTTCAGACAATCATCATAATCATCAGCCAGAAACAGCCCAACATAACATTGCTCTGATCAATCCTGGCCTGAGCAATCCAGCTCTTTCACCTCCTGCAGCAGGTTTAGGAACCCATTCACTCACGGTCTACTGACTGAGCCCATAAATCCAGTCATCCCTGTGGCCTTTGATTTCAGAGTTTTGGGATATGTTACCTCAGGGCAGGGGATTGTCAGAAGGTTACCGATCCAAACCCTTCTCCAAATTCTTCCCCAGAGTTGTACCTGGCTGGTACATGCCGTGCTGTACCTGTAAAGCAGGTAGAAGGTAAGAGGTGCAATAATAAAGCATTAGCTTAGAAAAAAAGAGAAAAGTGAGCATCAGCATCATCATCACCATCATCATCATGAAAACTTGCCACAGCAACGTTCACAAGAAGTTCATTTGCAAAACTGACAAAATTCTCTTCAACTCTGCTCTGAGGAGGGGTTTGACCATCCAAGGGAGGCACTGAGGGGCTGACTCGTGCAAGCCCTTAAAATAAATCTGCCAACTTTTAATTCTCTTGTTATGTTGTGGGTTAAAGGTGTCACCTGCCATGGGTGTGTGATTTAGCTCCATGGCAAGGACAAAGCCTAACACTGCATTAAGCCAGAACCATCTCATCTTTAGGACATACTTTTAGAAGATTACAGTGGCTGAATCTGCCTTAAAGTAAACTTGGAAGTCCACCAGGCTTTGAATAGTGTTGTCCAGTAAAAATGGTACAGAAAGCCAACTGAGCTTGGTGGTAATAAAAAAATCTCATTCTATTGCTGGCCTTGTGATTGTAAATTAAGAATAAATATCTGATTTGCAGGGGAAAGCAGGCTGTGGTTTCTCTTTATGTGTAGTGTAATCTCTCCATCAGCCATTACACCTGTAAACTGTGAAAGCCTCAAGGTGCCTGGGAACTGATCCCAGGACATGTGCCCAAAGTGCATCACACCTGTGTCTCCTAGTGAGGCTTTTAGTTGTGATGCTCCTTCATAAACCATGGAGAGATCCTCTGCTACAACTATGAGTAAAGACACTTTAGGCTCCCAGAAAACAATCTCCTGGGAATTAACACCAGCAATGCTCCAGACCCTGTTAAGTGGCTGTGGAGAAAACCAGGATCACTCCTACAATTCCACACTGAGGAAAGACTGAGATTCCCAGGAGCTCTCAACCAGCAGCTCCTCTCTAGACACTTCCAGCCTGGAGCTCTGTAACTCTCACAACACTTATTCCCACTTGGAATGTGCCTAATGTGGGACAGACTACAGTAAACCCAGGGTTGTCTATTATTCCTCGTCCCTCTCCCTGGAAGCTGCTTGAAGCTCTGGGGTTCCAGGGCTGTGTCCTGGTGCCAGCAGTGGCTCTGCTCCTGTGTAAGGAGAGGGAATGGCAGACTTTAAATAACAAATTTTCACTGATGCCTTTTGCTATTTTTACAACACATTTTAAAATAAATGAGAGATTAACACAGAAAAAAAGTCCTTCAGGTGCATGCTCAGGAACTATTTTTTCATAAGGTTTTAATGGATTCAGGGTTGAGCTCCACTAAAATCTGGATTTATTAGAAACGCTCCGTGCATTTCAATAGAGTTTTTCTCATGAATCTGGATATTTTACATTATTTCAATAGAGCTGACCCTCTGTTTCATTAGAAATGCTCCAATATAACCCATGGAGCATTTCTAATGATTCTGGTTTTACAGCAAATCCAAGGGTCAGCTGTACTGCAAACAATGGTGCTAACCTCTAGGTTTATTAGAAAAATGCTTTCTGTCTCAATGGAGCATTTCTAATAAATCAGATAAATAGGGATCTCCCACAAAAATGCTCCACTGGTGAAACAGACAAATGGGGGTCATTGTTATTGAGATTTTTAAAAAACAAAGATTGTTTAATAGACTTTTTTGTTCCTCTTTGTGGTGTGATCCCCTCCTATCCAGAGTTTAGGTCTTTACCATGAAGAACTAATAAATATTCCATATAATTCCATCAGAAACAAGCAGTGCTGCCTCAAACTGCCAAGCATTTTTCACCTCACCCCTGAAGACACTACAGCAAGGCCAATTTCCATGATGGATCTGTGGTTGCCAGGTTGGTGTTCAGGGGCTTGGTGCTGTGCCAGGGGTTGGGATGGATCCTTTCATGCTCTGCAGAAATGGGGAGAGAGGGTGAGTGTCACAACAGCTCAGCACTGGGGGTCACCATTGACCCACTACAGGTGCACGTGACATTGAACTGCAGCAGATAACAGGGAGAATTCTTTAGACCTTTAAGTTTGCTTTTTGTCCAAATTTCTTCTAATTTCAACAGAAAAAAGTTTGTCATTAAATGCGTGGGCCACAGGAAAAGATAAAAATTACCTCACACAGACGATCTCAACAGGCCTCTCTCCACATCAGGTCATGGACAAGTTACGACTTGTGGGATGAAGCTGCAGAGACCCATCACCATCCCTCTGGATCTCCTCCTGGTGTACAGGTGAGTGCTTGTAGGTACCTATGCACAGGCTCTTTGGAGGTTTGGGGAGTGTATCCATGTCAGGAGAGCCCATCTCTGTGCAGGCAGCCTGGGCACAGAGAGCCCATCTCTGTGCACTGAGAGCCTGGATGTGAAACCTTCTCCTCAGCAAGAGGAGATCCTGCATCGTGGTGCCATCAGGAACAGGAATCTGGGGCATGCACTGATGAACTCATGTTGATCCAGTCCAGGAAGAGTAAACGCAATGCTGTGAAATGCAAAAAAAAGCCTTGGTAAACTGAGACAAAGCTTTCTCTTTGAGAGGAAAGGCCAATGAGATAATTTCAATGACTCAAGATTTGGTTAGAATGTTCTATATTTATGGAGTATATTCTGTCCTGTCCAGATTTCCCTTTGGTTCAAATACCACAGTTACTGCATTTGGATTCCCTGTTCTGTTTCTGTGAATTGCAAATCCTCGGCTAAAAGCCAGTTAGTCTCAGTCTGAACAGTATTCCAGTCTTCTGCCCTACACTCCCCAACAACTTCAGGAAATCTGCTGACCAGTTTCTCTGAAAACCTGAAAATAAAACACGCTGCAGTGGTGACAAATCCACAAACCCGGAGACTCCACTTTAAAAATGATTGGTGTGTCTGAGTGCACTCTTTTTTTTTTTCTTCTTGTCAAGTTGGATGATTTTACCCAGCAGTGAAAACAGAGAAATCCACAATGGAGTCAAACAAAAGGAATTTTACAGGAGTGCTGGATGTCTGCCCTCTGCCTAGTGCTGGAATATGGGATTGTGGCAGTGTGGGAAGATGCCGAACTGTCCTTCATGAGGATCAGAGGGTGTGAGCACCACTGATTTCCCTGTTCCCTGGTTTCTCCCTACACAAGTTCCTGCTGCAGCACCAGTGTCCTCTAAATGATAAACAAGTTCTGTAGCAAAAAACTGCAGGTCAGGGCGGGAGCCTGCTCGGTCAGGGGGATTATAGCAGAACCAGCAATGGGATTTCAAGGCTTTTCCTACCCCAGGGGCACTGGAAATATCAGCACCAGGCCCACTCCCCCTCCCCACTCAGATGAGCCTCAGCAGTTCATCATGTCAAGTCTTGCTGCTGAGTGCTGTGTCTGGGGCCTCTGGCTGTCAGAGGCAGGATTTCATCCTGGGCTCCCTAAGGCCATGTAGAAAGCCTAAAATGTTCATTTATGTTGCTTATTGTCTGGCCAAACCTGTGTGTGCTTAAAAAATATCTGGAAGTTTAAAGGCTGATCCCTGATTGTCGTGGTTTCAAAATTTAGTTGTTATTTTAAAAAGTTAAATACATTTATTGTTATGAATGGCAATGCTTTTGTCAACTCTTAGTGCTCCTACATAAAGTGTTTATATGTGAGATGTTTCCTTCTGTGATGTGACTTCCTGAGCTCAGTCTCTCTCATTATATTTTTGCTAAAAAGATAATATCACTATACAAGTCTAATTCAGAGAGATCTGTAAACATGTTATATGGAGAGCACAAATATTCATGGATGTGGGAATTTGTACTTTGGCTTGTCAGAATTTCCGTGTTTGTGCACATACATTTCCATGTTCATACCCATATATACTGTAGAACAGTATTCCTGTAATAATCAGTGTAGGCATAAGTGTTTATAACATGTAGATTTATTTGCTTTATATATTCAATGTACCTGCATAGCCAGAACTTCATCTGCTGCTCAGAATTTATTCCAGCTTTCCACACGAGCTCTTTCAAACAATGCTAATTGCTTCAGAACCAAGATCATTGATGATAACTCTTTTAGGAATTGTCATGTTGTCTATAAATATTTAGCTGGATTGTATTTGCCAATGTACCCCTGTATTACAGATGAAAAGGCAGCATCTGCCGAAATTAAAAGTGGCCGCGTTTTCGCTGTGGCTTAATTAAATGCCAAAATTTATCTACATTAACAACAAAGTGGCGAAATTTATTGATCAATTCACATGATATAAGTTGACAAATGGCCCGAGCAATTTCCATAATTTTCTACACGTGTTAAAATTTGTAATGAAACAGGAATACTTTATCAGCAGGAGCTGTGGGTGGGAGGGGGCCGGGCTGTGCCCCGGGGCGCTGAGCTGAGCTCGCTGTCCAGCCCAGGCTCTGGGAGCCGTGTACAGATGGGCCTTTGACAGTCCTACAGCTGTTCTCCTAATTGTCCATTAAGTGTTCTATTGATTCTCTGATTCAAAGTACATGTCTTTCAGCCCGGGCTATCGTGTGAAGTGGCAGACACATTCCTCCTGGAATGACAGAGCTGCTTGAAACCTAAAAATGTGGGCTGCCAGTTCCAATTGAGGAGCCCGCTTTCAAAGGGAAGGCTTGGTTAAAGGAGCTTTGTGAGAGCGCCTTAGATTTGAGTTTCTAAACTTTTAGCATCAATCAATTAAAGCAGCAGCAGCAGCAGGAAAAGTTGTAATTCCTCATTAAGGGTTTGCACGTGGCTGGTAAAGCTCTGCCTAAGGATCCCTGCTTGTGATAATAAGGATTAGATCTTGTTTAGCTGCATGTAGATTTTATCCTCAGCCCCCTCTGACATATGCAATGATATTCTCATTTGACTTGCAAGTTCACTTTTAGCATTTTTTTAAAGGAAAATCATCTGCAATTCCAGCTCATGCCAGTCAGGAGCCTGTTTAAAATCATCTGCCTTTAATCTGAAGAGTGAAGGATAAGATGCATATCTGTTGCAAGGACCATAAATCTTCAAAGAAACAAATAGCCACAGATAAAACTGTAAAAGTTATTTAGTTCTCTTCCGAAAGAGGTTTATTAATCTAAAATTTCCAGTCCATTGTGTCATGATTTGGTTATCTCACTGTATTTCATTTCCTGCAATTGTATAAGCCTTGTGTATCAAGCAAAGAGATGGGAGTCTCAGAGCTTAAACTTGATCACTTGTGTTCAGATCTATCACTAGAGCCAGGGGGAAAAAAAAGAAATATAAAAAATAGCCACCTGAACTACCTGAGAGATTTGGACTGTGCAGATTTTTATTCCTATTTCCTCATATTTTAATGAGATGTATATGAAGTGGTTTTATTATTAAATTTAAACTGAATTTTAAATCTTTGTTTGTCTTTTTTAATTCATAATTCCTGGTAGAAAGAACACAAAGTGTTTATAGATTTACTGCTTGGGAACCACCCATGGGGGTTGTGCACAAAATGAGCTTTTCCCATGTGCCACCAGTTTCAGTTGCCTTTATATTTTTCTTTTTTAAAATCCCCATCATTTAAAAGAGACGTAAAACTGTTTTTGATAAAGCTTTAAATAAGGAGAATTATTCCTCGTTGAGAAGATTTTTATCTTTATAGTTAATGAAAAGCCACTTTGCTGTGACTGTTTAATATCTGATTATTCTTTAATCACCCTCTTTACATCCTTGCCCACGTGGGTGTTGCACCCCAGTTACCTCTGTATGGTTTTGTGTCTGAAAACCTTTACCCCCAGTCCCTATTCCACAGATTCACCAAGTGGGGCAAACAGATGACTTGGACCCATCAATCAAATTAGTTACAGCCTTTTAATTTAAACAAGAAGCTGATTTGAACAGAATTAGAATTTTTTTTTAACCTTAACCTATTTGGGACATCAAATTTACAAGCAAAGGCAATGTTTAATCCTAAGAAGTGAGAGTGAAAACTCAGATGGGGATTCCAAGAATACAAATGAAATTTCTACTCATACATCAAAGGCACACAAAGAAAAGAAAGGGGCGGAAAAAAGAAGTGAAAAAAAAAGGAAAGAAATGGTATGAAAGGGGAGGCATTTGACATTTTATAACCAGAGTTTCTCTCTCTATTCCATAAAAAAGAATATGTGTCAAATTAAAGAAATAGTGTAGGAAGCTGTAGTATATGTTCCCAGGCATTTCTCATTTTAGGAATGTAAGACTGGGGCAAACCCACTAAAAGCCCCCTGCACCAAGGGGACAGAAACCACCCATTTGTTTTCACCATCTGAAGAGGAAACTGGAGAGTCTCTCTAATATAAGAAACCATTTATTGATACCTGCAAAACACTTCGTAAATCCACCTCAACCCCAGTGCTTTCAATTACATCAGCAGCCAGTTTTTTAAAAAGATTTTTAGAAGCTTTCAAGTGTGGACTTTCGTCTTGTTGAATGAACTTCAGCTACACTAAATTTTAAGTAAATTTGTGATGACTGAGCAATATACATTGGCTGAGCTAGGATCCAATAACCCACAGGACAAATTAATTTTCAACAAAAAGGGCAGAAACCTCAAGTGCCATGAGTATATGGAATCTCAGTCTATCTCTCTGGAGCCATTTTTGCAAATCACTACAGCTATTCATAATCTAAATCAGTCTCCTTTAGCAGCAGAAAGATCTTTTTTCATGACAAAACAGAAGATGACATTCATTAGTGCCTAACTTGCATAAGCTACCTTAAATTTATTGGTGCTCTTATACTTATCTGGGTAAGAATTCCTTTGTCTACAGCTATAGGAAAATTCCGGACATACTACTTAAAAATATAAATTGTCGCTTTTATCAGAACTTTTGGCAGTTTACTTTATTTTAGAAGTAAAACTGGTGGTTAAGGTTTTAAGGCTTCCAATGGGCGTTGTTTCAATCATGGTTAATCTGCACCCAGGATGGCAATACTGATACAAGGGAGCAGTTGGACAAAAATCCAGGGAACTGCCACTGCCTGGAGCACCAGGCACTAACTTTTCCCTGGGTTGAAGTACAACTTATAGCATTACCAAAGAATCCTGTGACCTATATGTAAATTCAGGGTAGAAAGACAAACCCTTGGCTGGTGAAGTATAGAATTTTCTGGACAGCGTCTCCCTTTTCTCTTGTGATGGATCATTTCTTACATGGAAGGTCACAGAATCACAACATGGAGTCACAGAATGGTTTGGGTTTGAAGTGACCTTAAAGCTCATCGAGTTCCACTCCCTGCCATAGGCAGGGACACCTTCCACTAGACCAGGTTGCTCCAAGCCCTGTCCAACCTGGCCTTGAAGTCCTACCAGGACATACCAACCCACCTGCAAATATCCCAAATCCTACAGGAACTGCAGAGCCTGATTACTGTTAAAATGCACATCAAGTCAGTGTATAGGAAATAAAATATAAATGGATTTGCTTTAATGTGATGCAAGCGAATACTGGTTTTCATCCACCTGTTTTATAAACTCCATTTCCTGTCGTGTGTACAGACTGTTAATTCTTAAATGCCTTTAGCTTAATGTTTCCTACTTGGGATACAACTGCAGGAAGTATTGTGACCTAAAGATTGACATACATGTCATTTGTGCAACTGCTCTTTATTTCTTTGTGCAGAAAAGAAAGTGGAATAAGCATCTGTGGCAGCCTTTGTTACAGCCTGGGTAGACCCAAATGATCACGGAGTCGCTCTTGCCTCAAAACACATGAACATGATTTCAATTTTAATTGGTTTTATATGGTGAAAGTGGACAGGGATGTTTGAATGACAAATGAGAGAGATAAAATAATGAGAATGGTAGTGGCTGTGCCTGCTCTCTATTTCTTGATGGAATGACTTGTTGTGGCAGGTCCCACAACCCTGGAAAGTAACTACTGAGCTACTTCCAGCCCAAGGAAACAGTTCCCACAGTAAGGCAGAGGTTGCTCTGGTTCTTATTTCTACCATAGAGTTTTGGTCCTCGCAAAGGTAATGAGGAAATGAGGCTAATACTTAGCTAAGAAAACATGTCAGAATTAACATTATCTTCTCTTACAAAATCAGGCTAGAAGAATAAAATAAAATTACCAATCAAAGCCTCCTACCAGGAGCATAATATCTACTGTGTTTATTCATCAAGCACAGGTCCTGTCTTGGATGGAATGAGAGGGATCAGATTTAGGGCTGGAAAACGTAGAAGAGATTTTGTGGTGTAGATGGATAAATTCTTATAAATTGTTTCGCACATTTTTTCCCCTCAAATTTGAATAGAAATTCGGATGAGCTCTTATTTTGGGCCATCTCTCTTTGGAAAAAGGCAGCTGTGTCATCCCTGTTTTATCACCTCCATGCCATTCCAAGCTCGGCTTCCGTGGATGACCTTGGCTGGTCATTTCCTTCCTATAAAGTGGCAATTGGGCTGTTTACTGCCTTCCCAAAAGTGCTTGGGAGCTTAATTAATATCTGCTTTGAGATCCTCAAAAGGTGGTAAAGTGTTACTAGGTACCAAACCCAATCTTTGGAGCTCTAAACATGGAAGAGGAAAGGGACTCTTAGGGATCTGCCAGGAAAGTGTCATAGGAATGCAATGATGTCCTGCCTCTGTTCCTCTTTCTGCAGTGACCCTTCCCTATCACTCTCATCTCTCTACAACAGTTTTTCCATCCAAGCTCCAAACTCCACCCAACGACTCTCCTCCAGCCTATTTTCTTCAGGATACATGGGAGCAACACTTGCAATGGAAGAACATCACTTCATGGGAAGAATAGGAGAGATCTCATGAGATCTGAATGTGGAACAGAAACCCTGGTGCTACTGTACCCCTGGAATGAGGAATCTGCAGCTTTTTATCAACCTCTATGATTTATGGAACATGGATGGCCATGCACTGGTGCCTCAGCTCAGCCTGGCCACGCTCCCTGCTCCTCTCACCTGAAGGATGGGATGACACTCATGGTTAGTCAAGAGAAGCTGCCAAGCACCCTCTGATATATAGTGAGAGATTGCGGATCACAGGACTTGTGAGGAGAACAAAATCAAGTTCTCAGCCCCCAGGCATTCCTGTATATCTCAAACCACCCTTCCAAGGAAGTTATTATATGGGACTGGGAGCAGATCCAACCAGGCTCTCATGTTTGCTTATTATTGTCAGATTTTAAACTGCAACCTGAGCAATTTGTCTTTCCTTTTGAAGCTGATTGAGAGCAAAACAAAATGGCTCAATTATAAAGTTGCCATAGCCGGATCCCTTTAAAAGTGAGCCCAACTTAATTGGTTCATAGGAAATCTCTGCTGTAATCTGGCAATCTCAGGATGGTCCTGAGTGGTGGCATAAAATAAGGAGGCGATTCCCTCCTGCCAGGCTGCTGGGTCTGCAGCTTCAGCTGACAGTATTGAAATGAAGGTGAGATTTGTTTAAAACTCTCCTGGAGTGAAAGATCCATTTCCAGCTGCTGCCATATCCCAGCCTGGAGTGGCAGCAGGGAGGGGATGGAGCTGAGGGCAGGGATGAGATGATCCACACAGAAATTCAGCAAGTTCCCATGGACCATGGGGAGGTTCTTGAAAACTGAAATCAGAGGGATTCAAACTGTCCTCTTCAAAGCATATGAAAATAATATGCTTTTAAAAAAGCAGAGGAAAAGAAGCTCTAAGACTGGAGGTGACACTGCAAACTGTTTCTTCACATCTAATTTTTACAGCCTTCAGAAAACCCAGGGAGCCCACACTGCCCACCCACTCTCTTTTTCCAAAAGATTTGGGGAAGTGACTCAAACATTAGTTAAAAATTTAATAAAAGCATTAATAAAAAAATTAAAAATTCATCAAAGCATTAATAAAAGTTGTATCATCTCCAACATTTATGTTAACCTACAACAGAGCTCATGTATTTCCCAAACATGAAATACTCCAAATACTGCAGCAGGAAAGGGAGGATTTAGCTGAGGAGGGTGTTTGGTAGACAAACATAGTTGTTGGAGTGCTGTGTCTTCTTGGGCCTTTCCCTACCAGGGGTTTCTCTCTCTCTCTGCTACAGATGCTCAATTTCTCTCCCATTTTTTCCTAAGACTTTTCAAAGCCCTCAGAATGAAGGCACTGAGTCCTGAGAATGAATTTAGAACAAACAAAACCCAAGACACCCCAAAATCAAGCACTGAAAATCCAGTGCCTCGGTTCCCCTGTGCTGCATCTCACCAGAATTACCCATGAGCAACTGTTCTGGCCTTGGCTGGATTTTCCCAGCTTAAAATAGAAATAAAGGCATTATGGTAACACATTTCCACTGAATCGTTTTCCTAAGTAACACAGAGAGAAAAATTCAAAGCCTGGGGTAAACACTCAAAAAAAAAATTAAAATAAATCAGACAGTACCCACTTATACAAAGAAAGATTTTGGCAAGAATTACTCTGTGTGACCCAGTCTGTGAGTTACCTTTGCCTACATTTACTTTATTTTTTTACATTGCCATGTCAGAGCATCCAGAACTCGACATTAGATGTAAACCAAACCTCTGCAGAGAGGTGAGCTTTTGCAAAAGGATAAATAATCCTTTTGACTTGTGGTTAACGTGCCCATTCCCTCACACTTCACAAGTGGTGAATGAGAGGTCTGATTAAACATGATACAAAAAGAGCTTGCAAGTAGCACTGTTTACTAACATTTCAATTTCTATGCCTCATTTATTAGACTTAGAATAAAAAGGTTAGAGGGGTGTTTGGGATTGTCTTTAACCTTGATGATATTTCCACTGAAGCAGCATAATGGCTCTTAATTGCTTAAGTGAAGAGAACATGTTGACATGTCCTTCTTTGTGCTTAAAGCTCTGTGCCTAAACCATTATGCTAATTCAAGCATTATATACACCAAAGTATTTATGGGACTGACACAAGTGATGTTGCAGGTAAAGGGCTGTGAAATGGTCTGTAAACAGAGAGAATTGATTCCAGGCCCAAAGCAATGCTGTTAAAGTCACAGACATTGAACAGCCAGCCCTACAATTTCTATCCAGATTGTCACACTGGGTCAGGCAGTGTCAGCAGGGCTGCTGTTATAGATCAGATGGGTGGCTTTAATAATATGTAAACCAACCACATAAACCCAAATTAACATGGAAGCAAGACTTGACTGGGCCTTTTTTTTCCTGTGTGCAGCAGTTTTGGTCACCGAATATTCAGTTGTAGCATTTGCTAAAACAGGAACATGTTTAAAACCAGTGCAACTTACTCCTGGATTTTTTCTGCTCAGGCAACACTGCAATTTGAAGGGATCACAAGGAATATGTGCATCGTGTGAATCTCTGTTCAAAAATAATAAGTCCCATTAGGGGGTTTATTTGCTTATTCAAGATATGAACGGGGTAGATTATCTGTATTTTCCTCCTTTGGTCTAAGGCTAGCAGGGAGGTTTTACATGATGCTAAAATAATTTATAATCTTGCTTGTTTTGTTACTAATAACCCATAGCTTTTGGCACTGAACAGGATTTTGAATATCCAATTTCCTTTAAAACCTGCATCTAATTTATTGTTTGCATTTCAGTAATTTTAGATACCTAAATGAGACTGATCAGCTCTGCCTTTATTTCTGCCATTTTTATTTTTGGCTCTGGAGTACTTGGACAGACACTTTTCTCTTTAGTTTTAAAATGATGCAGAGTAATGTCTCAGTCTCTGTATCTTTTTTTATACATTCAGAGCAGGCATTTCACTGATTTTCCATTTTTTTAAATGCCAGGAGAACGGTATCATTCATCCTACACCTCATATGTAGAATGTAAACCTCAGAGGGAAGTCCCATATTCATAGTAGTC